TACAAAAAGAGTTGGCAACACAAAACAAACCAATCATCAATTGTCTTCCTCATCAGTTAGGATATCGAAAGTTCAAGGTTGAAAAAAACCAAGCGATTCCTTCACCAAAACCCCCTTGTTAGAATGATCTGGGAGCTTTTATCAGTTACAGATTAGTTGATCCGCATGCTTAGTTGACGAGATTGATAAAAACTTAAATACATATCTACAAACATGTACTTCAACTTCCATCTTGTTTGCTTGATCGATTACCAACCAATCAAATAAGAGAGCCTCTGGGCATATAGAAAACAAAATGGTCGCCATTGTGGGACCGATTGGGCCTCTTTCTGTTGGAACAGTTCTAATTTGTAATTCGATTTTGATTGTTGGTGCGTTTCGTGTATTATTGAAAGGTGCCTTTCCAGAAGATTAAACGGTAGAAATGAAGACATTAATCTATTTTCCTCTGGATTTCATTCCTTGAGCAAATAAAGCGGTATTTTTCGTTTAATTTTCGAATCCAATCAGATAAGAATTGGAAGTTTATGATTCGAATAATCTTATTACAATATTAGTTTTGATTTATAGCAGAATCTCAAGTAATAGCTGTGTGAAAAATGGATGAGTGGTTTTCAAATTACGCACGTAAAAAGAATCTCATAAATTATTTGTTTATTATTGGAAAACAAAAAGAATAATAGACTGGGATTTATCTACATAACAGTGAATTTTTTGACAACCACATGAAATAAAATGAACTTTTATCAAAATCAAAATATTATATATATGTATATCAAAGTTTGCAACAACTAAACATTTGAATTCTCATTTATATTGCTACATTATATCTACATTTTGGGTTTATGAAATTTAGAATGAAGGACTAAGACCTACTGCGTCCATCTCAGTGTCAGCCAAACGTGAAACCCCCAGTGATTAGTCACTAAGCATGCTTCGTACTTATTTGGCTTGGTTTAGAACTCGAATCCCTGAAGAGGGACAACTCAGTCATTAGGCATCTAAGAAAATATAATTCATTCTAAATAGCTTTCCATTAAATTGATTTTTAATTAAGAATTATAAACAATCATTCGGTGCAACACGGAACAGAAAATTAGTTAATTTGCTCTAAATTTTTCAATAAATTTCTTTGATTATTTTGCGAGAGTAGGCTCTAATAGATCTAGTGTAATATAATAAACTACAACTGGCCCAAACTGGCAGGTTGTCTTATAGGATAATTTCTCAAAGTCAAAATAGAATAGTAAATCGAACTACATAATTGCATCAAAATGTCAATAATTACCAAAATGTCAATAATTAATTATGACGTAACTTTAAATTATATTTTATCTAAATTAACTTTAAATTATAAATTATATTTCAGTGCATAGTGCTCGTAAATTTTATTGTACCTCATACGATCCACTGAGTAAGTAGCCTCTGACTTATATCTTACAGAATAAAAAATTACTTTAATTCGGATTGAATCACTAACATTTAATGTAGATCACTTTTGTATAATACTTTTTTCATGAAGGATATTACAACAATTACTTCCGGACAATTATCTTCTTATTTCACAACTTTATAAAGCATTTTTTGTACATTTAGAGAGACTTGGAATCTTCTAATACACACTCTAAAGAAAAGATTCTTTCATATAAATATACGTTCGCTAAATAAGAATGATTAAAACGCACGATAGAGAGGGATTAATTTCATAATCGAGTTTTTTTATATTCTTAGCACCTGCCCGCTATGGATTGAGAATAGCATAAAAAAAATAAAGGCACATTATTGTAAAAAAAAATAGGATGACAAAAGGTTTTTTCATTCAATTACGTTCGTTTCAGATAAGAGGTTTCATTGTCATTTCGGCTTTTAAAAAAATCGCGTTACATGTGTATTAAACTTTTAAAAAATGAGGCTTCAGTATTGCTAGTATGAATCTGGTACAGAATTAGATTTTTCTGTTTGCGAAGGCAACATAAAAATACAAAATCTAAACTGAATTGTAGTGGTTTCGCATAATAATCAAATGACTTTCACTTTAATTATTTTATAATGTTATGAATTAATTTCATAAATTACAATTCATAAGAACATTAGTTAATACTATTTCAAAATATTTGTGGTTTCAGTGGATTTATGTCTGCTGAAAAGTTATATTTTAGCTTTGTTTAACCCTTGCCGGCATAGTGTATACAGTGTAACTATTACAAACATTTAAAAAAAAAACTCTTTGTAACGTCCACTGTGTTTTAGCAACCACTATTTTTTAAACAACATGGTTCTGAATTATATCTAATTACTTAAAATTCGCGATCCACGACCGCAATTGATGTGCTTGCCTATCTGAAACTTCTAATTGAAATTTGTTGTGATGGAAAGGTTTAAAAATGGTGAAAATAAACGATAAAATTTGAAGGCTAATTTAAGAAAAATTCAGCAATATCATATATCTTATACTTTTTAATGATTTCATATTGAATTTTAATTTATTTATTTATAATTATTAAATTGAACCTTTAATTATTATTAGTAATTGAATTGAGTTAAATTATGATGTATTGCAATCAAGTTTGAAAAATACGATAATTAGGTTCAATTTAAAACTATATTAAAGTTGTATTGGGCAACGTTACGGTTCAACACCCACCATTCTTTACTTTTACTTGAAATAAGTTAAATTTCTTATTATTGAAGTAAAAATCAACCTTATATAACGTAATTTATTTGTATTACACTAAGTAGTTATTTTTATATTATTAATTTTTGTTTTAAAATTAATTCAATATGGCGAAGAGAAATTTGATGGCTAAAAGACTAAAAACGGATCACTTCGGAGAAACCTTTTCTTTAAAAATAATAATAATGATAAATAAATAAAAGCAAAATCAGCAATAGTATTCTTAAAGTTAATAAGAAGAAATTTGGATCCTTGTTACGCAACTACTGGAATCTATTGTTCAGTAAAACTTTTAAAATTTCGAAAAAAGATAAGAGAAAGTTTACAGAAACAATTTTAAACATAAATTACCTTCACCTTCAAAACAATGCAAAATATGTATTACATACATTTGAATTCTCAAATTTAATTGTTTAACTAGTTAACAAAAGTATTCTCAAAATTTAAAAGTAGAAAGGATATACACTACTACAAGAATCTACATCTTCTATTAAAATTTTTATTTTTTAAGGAAAGTATTTTTAAAAAATTGGATTAGTTTCAAGCAATTAACATCCACCTTTAGAACAATTCAAACAATTTATTTTATAAATTCACCAAGACCTAAATTTAATCGTCTAAGTCAACAATATTCTTAAAAATCAAAGAAGGAAAAGTTTTTATGTTTGCACAACTAAAAGAATCTATTCCTTTGAAAAACTTTTATTAAAAAACAGTTATTTAAAAACATTACTGGAGCAGTTTTAGAGATCCACCTTTAAAACAATTCAAACTATGTGAAACATCTTAATTTAATAACCTTAAAACCCAAATATAATCATCTACCAAGACAACAATAGTGTTCTCAAAATTTTAGAGAGCAAAATTCAATGCTGCTACAAGAATCCACATCCTCAGTAAAACTTTTATCATTGAGCAAAAAACGTTACTTTTAAGTTTACAAAAACTGTTTTCAGCAGTAAACATTCACCTTTGAAACAATACAATCCACGCATTATATAAATTCCATAATCTTGGATTCCAACTTTAATCGCCAAACGAGACTGTCTTGTATACAAGGCAGAGAGCATCACTCTTAAAAGATCTGTAAACACTTCAACAGGAAAAGGGCTCTGACGTTTATTTGCAGATTTCATCAACTCTTTAACTACCATCCCTAAGGATTCTCGTGGAGATTTCAGCACTTCAGGGCTCCTTTTCAAGCCCATCTTCCGCAGTCACCCAGATTGTACTCAGGGCTCTGGCTCTAGACAGATCCAACGAGTAGGCGTCCTTGTTTCTTCCAGGCGAATGAAGATTGCTAAAGGAAATCCCGCACGAGATCAAAAGCGGTGTTCTCGAATATTTATACCCGGGTAGGCAATGTACCCCACGATAGTTCGATACTTCACTTAACGTCACCCCTATTTGCTACCCTCCCCCCTTTAGCAATTAGTGGATCATTTTTGTGTGTTTGGAAGCATGGACCACCGGCCTAGGGAGATGAAGTCTTTTTGCAAAGTTTGGATCAGTAAGCTTACAGTCCTAAATTTCAGGTTGAGAGATCTTGGAATTTTTTTTCGCAAAGCAGAAATTGAAGCTAGATTCTGGTACTTTGAAAATAGGTTTGCGATCTGGGATTTAATTTGGTGATTAAAAATCATGATTCGAATTTACGGGTGAATTTGCAAAAATATACATTTGGGAGATACATGTTATTTGCTCAATTTTCAAAAGTTACCGTTTGGGTAATTAAAGATTGGCGTTAAAAGAAAATTAGCCTCAAAAATTTCAATTATTATGTTAATTTCCCACCATATCATTTACAGGAATATTTAATTCTGGTGACCAACAATTCTAAACAAAGTTTTAAAAAATTTATTCAAAGTGATATTTTTATTTTCTTTGTTATATTCTTTCTTTTATTACCTTTGGCAATGTGAGTTTATGCTACTAATTTGAAACGATCTCATTTCATTTCGTCATGAGCATTTAACCAATTTTGGTCTAGCGTTCTTCTTAAGGGAGGATTTCTTTTTCAAAAAATAAAATATAGTAGCACAAGAATTTCCCTATTAAGCTTTAATTAGCATAAACAAGATAATTATGTCCATCACAATAATAGGCTTATTTATATTTTATCAGAGGGCAAAATATAGCAAATTCCCAGAGCTAAAAAGATAGGTAAAAGATGAAAATCTCTTCTTGGTTTTGTCTTGTTCACTATCATTTATTTCGCAAATGCACTTTATACAAAACCACAAAATGAATGCTTAAACATTACTCTGCTGAATTTAATTTTGTACAAAATACCAAGTTAAATAATAATTTTAAAAAATTTACCTACCTTTTCGTTTTGATAAGCAGTGACAGCGATGAATTCTGTTTCCTTGAAGACGTACGTTCTAAATGTGGAATAAGGAAGCTTCAAGATGTCGTTTGCCCTCACCAGATGGAACCTGGGTTGGTACTTGTGCATCGAGTTCAGGATCGTCTGCGTTATCAGCAAAAGAACAACAGAAAACATTGTGATAACGAGAAGTTACAGCATGACATAGTTATTAAGTTTGTGCATGATACATGAATAAATAACAAGTTTATTTTAAAAAACAATTAAAACTAAATTTAAGTAAATAATAAGCATATCTTAAATTACAAGATTAATAAGTAAGTAACTCAATATCCTGCTTGGTTAATAAATTATAAGGATAAAATTAGTGCAATTCCAAACTAACATTTTATGTTTTGAAAGTTAATACTATAACTATGAAGTATATATTTATTGTAATTTTCTGCAGTCTGTTCTAATCAATATACCAGTATAATTGCTTTAGTTGTATTTTGAGAATTTATAGTTAGATAGATTCAAAATTTTATACAAATTACAAACTACGGAATGTTATTAGAAATTTAAAAATATATATATAAATAAATAAATAAAACACGGTTTTATTCGGCTAGTTTGGTACAAGGAAATTCGACTTTTTTATGCATATATATTTTAGACTTCATTTAATTTTTATGTGTTTAAGGAAATGAAAAAAATAAAAGAAAAAATAAGATGGAGGTCTACGTTTTAGTGACTTTTTGTCGACTAACCGAAAAGTTTTTAAAGTCACACTTTGAGTGTCGCGAACGCGCAACAAAACTTAAATTTCAAACTCTTAATAATATTTTGTTCAAGAGAATTATCTGGGGAGACCTGTTTTAAATTGTTCCAATTTGGAGAGTTTTTTCTAGCCAGAGGAATATAATTAATTTACATATTTCAAAGTTTTTACTCCAAATAATAAAAAAAAAATTAATCATCAATTTAAAAAAAAGAGCCACATTTTAAGTGCCTTAATTTCGAGGCAAATCTAAAATTCTAAATTATCTATACACTCTTGCGTGAAGAAATATTTAGACACAGGAACAGAAAGACAACTTAAATGCTAAAAATTATTAAACCCTTTTGAAAATCGCCAGGTTGGCGAGATTTTTAACTTATATGAAAATTATCAAAATCACTAAATAATTCTCAATTTTTTTTGCAAACTTTTATGAGCCCAGATAAGGCAGCATTAAATTAACTTTTTCAATATTAAAAAATTTGGTTACAAACGCTTTCAAGTTTCACAAAACTCACAACATTTCTGAAAATAGCATGTTATTTGCAAGAAAAAGGGTTATTTTATGTAATAACAATCTTCGCAAAACAATTTCAAAATCAATGAGTTGATTTTCGATATTTGCACTTTCGTATGAGTCTAAACAAAGCACCATTGTAGTAACTTTCCAAAAATTAATTTTAAAAAAATTAAAATTATATTACAAACACTTTTCATTTTCAGAAAACTGTGGCTTTTTTAATATTGACGTTCTGCGCCATTTTAATTCTTTAACGCAGATGACCCTGGCTACAAATGGTCAAAACTTAACATGACATTCATGAATAACTGTTACAAACTGATAACAGTTATAAAAATAGGATACCATTCGCAGAGAAAAAAAAATTGTTTTATAGAACGATGTAAGAAACTTAAATACATCAATTTCATATAGTAAGCGGGCGGCATTTTCCTTTTTAAGTTTCTCCATAAAAGAATAGACATTTATAATATTTCTTTTTTAGCGAAAATCTGTAGAAAAAAAAACTGAAAGAAAAGTTTAAGATGGCGAGACAAGAATACGGTTATGAGTAAAGCATGCATAAAATTCATAGAAACTTATTAATTTATCATTATGGTTCGCATTGTCGGGACTAAAGCGTGGAGAAACCAGCACTCAGGAGATAACTCGGAATTTATGGGGTTGAATTAAGGAACAATTTCCTTTTTTCAACTCGCATAAAAAAACCATTTCGCAATGAAATCCTGCCAAAAACTTTCAGACACAATAAATCATATTCAAAGTCAGCATTATTATTTTTTTAAGACTAGCCGTAATAACAGCAAAGAATCACGCCAAAAAACACTAGGATCTCACCTTGGCGTGTGAATTGCGCATTTTAAACAATTCCGAGTGGGATTTTATAGTCTGGAATTCAGAGACAAAAAGAATTTCGGTGAGTCGAGGAGAAAGTGGGTAGGAGAAAGGAAAAAAATGTTTATTTTTAGATTTCACAGATAGATTCTTCGAGAAGAATTTACGATCTGATCAAAGAATACATGCTTTTCGCCTTCTTACGTCGTAATTTTGCTTTTATTTACGGTTACGATAAAAAATCTGGACGGCTGAGTTAGATCATCTGGGCTATAAATGCCTTGTATGGAACGAATCGTTTGTTTCTCATCACGGTGGTGAGGTGACAATATCCGCATCTTCATGATTCATCCCACATTTACACATCAAACGATAATTTGATATATATCAATAAAATTGATGTCATTAGATATCGTTTTAATATCCGTGTTATTTTGATTCGATTGCAACTATACATCAGACGATATGTTAGCTATATAAATTAAATTAAATGATTGGATATCGTTTTAATATCCGTGCCGTTTTGATTCGTTTGCACTTATACATCAGACGATAAATTAGCAATACTATAATTTAAAAATTCCAGGAAACATAATAATAACATCTATCAGATTTTTGAAGGAGTTGTTCTAGATCTTTTTCACTTAAATTAGTTTATTTCAGAATAAATGCAAACAAATAAATTGAATTTTTTACAAAATAGAATGTTTACAAGTTAGTGGAATGCACATTCGTACCGCATTTAAGATGAAATTCGCATGTAACGTAACTTATCGTAGATTTTACATCATAAAAATGACACGTAAAAACATAAAACACAACTCTTTTTTTTTTTTGAAAGTTTCTTTTTTTGTTCAGGTTCTTAAACTCTAATATTAACTATAATAAATAAAAATATTAACTAAAAGAGGACAAAACGGAAGTTAAAAACTTAGGGTGAGTGGCAACATGAATAACAAATTTACCTAAATATTTAAGCAACATTATATCAAAGTTTTTCCCAATCGTTTTTGCACCCGTATTGTTTTGGTTCGTTCGCAATCAAGCATTTGGCTTTAAATTAAATACAACAATAAATTTGAAGTTATAGTTTTTGGAAAATATAATTGCCAAACATTTTCCAGATTTCGAAAGAAGTATAAAAATAATCAAAAAAATTTTTTAATATTTTCAGCTATTTACTTAAAATTACAAAAAAAAAAAAGTGCATATCCACAAAAGTTTTAATTTTATGATAAATATTCTAAGCCATCTTACTAAAAATGAAAGTAAAGCAATAAAACTTCTAACAAATTATAATATTTTTAGTTTAAAGAATGAGCGATAAAGGACAACAAACGTAAAAAATTTGTTTACGATACAATCAGTAGCTTTGCAATTAAGTTTAAAATGCGTATATATTCTTGTAATATTCTAACTTATGTAATAACAGAACAAAATTTTTCTCGACTTGAAACTGTAATTTGAAATTAAGCTTTTTAATTCCAATTCTTGCAACAAAAATAAACCTCCCAGACAACAAATCAAATTCAAGATGCGAGTTTTAAAACAGATTACAGCCAATTTCGGCTATGTTTTTTGAACTCGGAGTGTAAGTTGAATTGGTAGAAGTTTCAGATAATTTTATTGAAATAAATCTGTTTCGGGACAATGTGGAGCAGTTGGGGTCGATCGGGCCAGTAGTCACAGTACCGATATAACATTGTACATCAACAGCATAAGATCACTGGTTGGTGATTCTACATCATTATCAATAAATCGTCAACCATATTAACCCTTAATGTTAGCCCACGGGTTAAAATGACTGAAGTATACATTGCAATTGGTAAACAAATGTGTGAGGGTTAAATACGGACATAAACCACAGAAAATTAACGTAAAGTATACAGTAACTTGATACCTATTAACTCTAAAAAGGCAATGTACAAACTCGTTGCAGAGCGTTTCAGATTTTCAACAATTAAAAGGCTCTTCCAAAAAATTAAAAAAAAAATACATACAAGAGCAGCGTACAACCAAAGTGACACGAAAACAGTTTTTTAAAAAAAAGGTTCTAGATAGTAAAGATAAAGGAATACACCAGGCACTGTTTTATAAAGAACAGCCCTTGTCTTTAGATGCCTTGGCATAACCTCAGGCCCAAGTGTCTGATGATTTTTCGCTCGACATTCTTCCTGTGCTCCCCCCCCCAACCCCGCAAAACACCCCCTCAGAAGAAGTGACATCGCCAAAGCTGACCGTCCCGTCCTTGGCAGTCAGCGATTGTCGTCGCTGGAAGGTTAATAATAATGATTCACTTGTTATAACACGACTCGAGTTCCTTGATCATTTGGCGCGATAAAAGTAAACGCGTTTGCCGCCAATTATTCGAGTTGGATGATCAATTTCTTAGATGTCGGTGTTGTCGGCAAGAAGTATCAGCTTCAAGTTTTATTTTTATTTTTTTATTTAATGCTCTTTTCTCTTCGTCTTTGTTATGTTCATTTTATTATTTTCCTTATTTTTGACGCCTCAATGTAAAACAATAATCAGATGGGTATTGCGAGATACGGTGAAGAGTTATTATTATGTCCCTAATGGCTCTTTTAAACGGAGGATTTATGAGGTAAATGACGGGTTTACTTATGCTCAAGTGTTTCGCTGAATATTTAATTTTAAATTAAGACCCATTGATATTCTCGTTGTGTTACAATTGTGTTAGTTTTTTGGAAAATATTAAATTGGATTTTGTTGTAGGCGACATGTGTCTTCAATTAAGTACCAGACGAAAATTTAAATTTTGAAATAAAATATAAAATTTAAGACGTAAATAAATATTTCAAACTAAAAGTTAACCAAAAATAATGATGATAAATGCATTTAAATTTCATAAACACTTCATAATTTAGGCATTAGCACTTTAATTAAACACATAATTTTTTATTAATATTTAGTTTACTTTATTGCAATTTTGTATAATTCTTAATATACATTCAAAACATGCAATAGTCTATATTTGAATATTCTAATAAATATTTAATTCCCCAAGAAATAATAATT